AAAAAAAGATGTTTGCATGTTTGCATGTTAATTAAATATACACATTAAAAGTATTATTTTGCATTTATAAACAACTTCGGGTGTTAAAAATAAATGAACTACATAATTATTTTTCCTTATTGGTTGTCAACTTTTTCATGTTTTGAAGGAAATTGAAATAGTTGAAAGCAGTTTATTACTGTGGCTGGGGGGGTGCAAACGTCATGCAGATACATTAATTCACAGCAACTTGAAAAAGACCTGCAAACACAAAAATTTATAAAGATTAGAAAAGCATTCAGAGAGAGCAGACGTCCGCCAAGCAGCATATTTTGCACCAATTTGGGACTTACACCTACCGGTATAGTGAAAACTTTCATATCTTCTGGATCATTACAAAATTTAAATAAGTTGTTCTTTCGGCATGAGGAACATCTCTGGTAAAACAAATAATCTATAAAATACGTTCATAAGTTTTGAAGTTATCCTTTACACAGACAGATAGACAGACAAACAAATATAAAAAAAACTAAAGTAAATAACCTCCTTCTTTGGAGGTATACAACATCTAATCTCTCTGGGGCCAGACCTGAATACCTCAAATTCAAGCTCGTACATCCTGATCTTGGCTCCTATCCTTTCACCTTTCTCAGGGTCAACAGTGAGAACACTATCCAGGGTAGGAAATGAGCTCTGGTCTGCTGTACTGAATCCAGAGAGCCTTCATTCTTACAGACATCATTAAGCAGAGGACACACACTAATGATGCTGGTCACATTGGGACTACAGCCTCCTGGAAAGCAAATACAAAAGTCACACAAATATATTGAACAGCTAAAACTATTGGTTATAAAGCCCCAAACACACAAAGGTGATAACATTAGCATGTGTGACACACAGTACATGTAAAGAAATAATGTTTTATTAAACTCCATAAGGTGCAAAGGATTGTGGACGACCACATAGCTTAAAGCAGCCGCAAGGCAGGTCAGGAGGTCACTATGCTAGGAAGCATACTGCTTCCTGGTCCTAGCTCCTTCCCAGCTGTCAGTACTATTCAGATAGCACTTAATTAGGTGACTGTGGACAGATTTCTGCCGTCACTTAAAGGTTTCAGGGAGGCTGTTCTTTCCCCGGGTGGATCATCAAAATAAGTGGTTCTCCTAATTGTCAATCATTCCAGTGATATGTTTACGTAAGGCCGTCCTACATGCTTGTCCCCATTTTCACTTATCGGTGGTGAGTCTGACATGGTGTAAAAATTGCAAATCTTCTTTTGGAAAGTAAGCTTGTATGAGTGTGAGAGGAGAAATGGGCTTGTGCACGCTCTTGCACAGGTTTATTAGGTGTTCCCTCTCTGGAGCGGGAACATGGTTGGGCATATGTACTTTTAAGTGTTCTTACCAATTTGAGGTATTAGGATCGAGCCAGAGCATCCTAATTATGCCTTTACGAAAGGTCTGATACCATATGAGTTGGTTATCATCTCCCCCTAGTGGTCTGGAGTTTTTCTGTTTTACTGGGTTAATTTTTATCTTTTCTTAAAGGTATATTGGAGGATTTTCGCAAAATTTTTGAAAAGACCCGCCCTCTCAACTTAAAAAAAAAATGCATGTGCAGGACCATGCAATCGGCCATTTCTCCTCGTGCTGTTCTCTGACTGTCTGAATCCGTAGCTCTCAACACATATATGCCTGAAAGTGTGCATGCCCAGAAAAAGACGAGCATGTAGGACGAGAAGGATTGACAGGACCAGAATGATTGACAATTAGGAGGTCCACTTACTGAGATGTTCCCTCCTCAAATAATAGATCGTCCTCTATATCTTTAATGCATAGTTGTACCTGCATTTTATTAATTCAAACAATAGAGGTGCAAGTTCAATAAAATATGTCTGACCCACAGAAGCACTAATAAGCATTTTTATAATACACCTCTCTATTCCATATGAAACACATACTGGATTTCATGTTATGCTTGGAGCGAAATCTCTTGAAGTTGGATTTAAGTTGTTTCTTCAAACATCTGCAGCATCACCATAACTGCTCTGAAAAAAGATTGAGTTATCATCAGCTGGTAAAAGAAACTGCTGTTCCCAGAGGTCGGACTTCAGAGATAGAAAGTGCAAAACACATTATGCCTTTAGACTTTTTAATCAATAAATTAACTGCTTAAATGATTCTAAACCTCAACTTATGACAGTGCTTAATACTATCATGTTGGATATAGTAATAAACCTGTAGCCACTTACTAAAACTAGGAACAAATGTATTTCATTATTTTTTTTTTCTCTTTTTATTTTTAGTCTTTCATGAAACTCTGGGTGTCTTTTTAATTCCTGATCTCAGTTTTTGTCTGCAAGAAAGGCAGCCAGGTTGACTGAGCATTATTCAGAGCAACAGCCCAGAGGGCCATGGTAACTGTGGATGAACTGAATAAATCCCTCTAAGATAGGAAAATCTGTCAACAGGAGAAATATTAGTTGTGCACACCACAGGGTTGGTTTTAATAGAAATGTGAAGCAACTGTTGAAAGAAAGCTTAAATAAGTCTGGTTTGTGAAAACCCATGTAGAAGACACAGCATAGATGCTGAAAATGTGATACCTGGTTTAGTTATTAGCTTTTTGAATTTATCCAAGAGCCTGCATTTGATGGAAAACAATCACAGGTCACTCAAAACACATCATCATAATACTGAATAATAGTAGTAGTATCATGGTCAGGAGATACTTTTCTTCAGCAGGAAAACTGCTTTAACCAAAGGGTTATATTGGAGTCAGTTAGAGGCTCCATAATAACCCTTTGGTTACATTGGAGGTTTAGACCAAAGCATCTTTATGGGTTAGAGCAGCCCAGTGAAAGTCCATAGCTTGGAATAATCTTTATAAATACTTGACAATAGTTGTGCATAGGTTCACTCCTTCCAACTGAACGCTAGTTTTAAATTCTTTACTAGCATTCAATTGGAAGGAGTGCACCTATGCAAAACTATTCTCAAGTATTTATAAAGATTATACGAATTGAACGCTAGTTAAGCTATTTTTCAAAGACGAATTGGCAAAAATTCAGTTTTTAAAATTCGGTTGTGTAATAGTAGACGGACCTCAAAAGATTAGCAGCTGTAAAAGCAGCAAAACAGTCCTAGTCAAGATATTGGTTGAATTTTAATAATTTACAGCAATTTATTTCCGAAAATAGATATGTATTTATATGTATGTCTGTATATATATATATATATATATATATATATATATATATATATATATATATATATATATATATATATATATACACTATATTGCCAAAAGTGTTTGCTCACCTGCCTTGACTCACATATGAGCTTAAGTGACATCCCGTTCCTAATCCATAGGGTTCAATATGACGTTGGTCCACCCTTTGCAGCTAGAACAGCTTCAACTCTTCTGGGAAGGCTGTCCACAAGGTTTAGGAGTGTGTTTATGGGAATTTTTGACCATTCTTTCAGAAGCGCATTTGTGAGGTCGCACACTGATGTTGGACGAGAAGGCCTGGCTCTCAGTCTCCGCTCTAATTCATCCCAAAGGTGTTCTATCGGGTTGAGGTCAGGACTCTGTGCAGGCCAGTCAAGTTCATCCACACCAGACTCTGTCATCCATGTCTTTATGGACCTTGCTTTGTGCACTGGTGCACAGTCATGTTGGAAGAGGAAGGGGCCAGCTCCAAACTGTTCCCACAAAGTTGGGAGCATGGAATTGTCCAAAATGTCTTGGTATGCTGAAGCATTCAGAGTTCCTTTCACTGGAACTAAGGGGCCAAGCCCAGCTCCTGAAAAACAACCTCACACCATAATCCCCCCTCCACCAAACTTTACACTTGGCACAATGCAGTCAGACAAGTACCGTTCTCCTGGCAACCGCCAAACCCAGACCCGTCCATCAGATTGCCAGATGGAGAAGCGCGATTCGTCACTCCAGAGAACGCGTCTCCACTGCTCTAGAGTCCAGTGGCGGCGTGCTTTACACCACCGCATCCGACGCTTTGCATTGCACTTGGTGATGTATGGCTTGGATGCAGCTGCTCGACCATGGAAACCCATTCCATGAAGCTCTCTGCGCACTGTTCTTGAGCTAATCTGAAGGCCACATGAAGTTTGGAGGTCTGTAGTGATTGACTCTGCAGAAAGTTGGCGACCTCTTCGCACTATGCGCTTCAGCATCCGCTGACCCCGCTCCGTCAGTTTACGTGGCCTACCACTTCGTGGCTGAGTTGCTGTCGTTCCCAAACACTTCCATTTTCTTATAATACAGCTGACAGTTGACTGTGGAATATTTAGGAGCGAGGAAATTTCACGACTGGATTTGTTGCACAGGTGGCATCCTATCACAGTTCCACGCTGGAATTCACTGAGCTCCTGAGAGCGACCCATTCTTTCACAAATGTTTGTAAAAACAGTCTGCATGCCTAGGTGCTTGAATTTATACACCTGTGGCCATGGAAGTGATTGGAACACCTGATTCCAATAATTTGGATGGGTGAGCAAATACTTTTGGCAATATAGTGTATATATATATATATATATATATATATATATATATATATATATATATATATATATATATATATATATATATATATATATATATATATATATATATAATCTACTAATCCGTATTTTACCTTCTGTTTCACAGTTCTGCACTATTGTATGTCTTTTTTCAATCATATAAAAGTCAGCAGCAGTGGAGTGGGATAAATGTATAAACCTTTTACATATTTGACAAATACTACAGCTTGTGTTTGTTTCACTTTGATAAAAAGAACACTTTATTTAAGCACTGGTCTACATGAACCTAACCCTAAAATATAAGTAATGAGCCAAATGTAAAAGACAGCTGAGTGAACTGCAAAGCGGATGAGGCTTCTTCATTTCCCTGACCATTACCTGCCGTTACTTGGCTCTTCATTCTTATATCCCTCCGCCCCGCGCAGCTTGAAGCCCCGCCCCCTGATCCCCCCACGCCAAGCAGGAGGGGGAGGAGCCATGGAGCAGACACTGACACGTAACAGTCCTGCGTAGAATTTAAGGAAGAAGCTGCATCTTTTTCTATAAACTCTCTTTGGAGCCATCTGACCCACTTCAGACTTGATGAACAACCCAGCTGCTCCATCCTAGCCGCTTGGAGGGGCCTCCGGAAGCGACCGACTCAGGACTATCAGATAGAAGCAAAGGGAAAGCCGAAGTTTAAAATGAGGTTTTCAGTGTTTATTTCTGTCCTGCGCTCTCTCGGCCCGGTGGTTATCGGCATTTCATTGGGCTTCACGCTGAGTTTGCTGAGTGTAAGCTGGACGGAAGAAGCGTGTCCCCTGGAGGTCAAGGAGAGCGAGGATGTGGCTTCGGGTCAGGAAGGACTCCTCAAAGGAGCCCGAAAGCCCAACTCCATTTCAACTGGCAACGATGTGGAGTCTGAAGAGGATTTCGAGCCGAGAATAGTCCCATACAAACAAGTCCAACCGAGTGCTCCAAAGAAAGTTTTCAGGTCAGTTTAGGGTCCCCGTTCATTCTTGGTTTCAGATTCAGATAAATGAACAATGTGATGATGATCAGTTACTTCAGACCTCACAAAACACAGATGGTCAGGTGTCACAGTAAGGCTAGTAATTATAAGATTATTAATGTAAAACACAGGGGCGACCCCAGTAAGTTCTACAAGAGGGAACGTGGGGGGGGCCCTGCACCCCCCCCCCCCAAAAAAAAAAAAAAAAAAAAAAAAAAAAAACAACCAGAAAAAAAAGTTTAAGGAAAACTTTTTTACCTTTGTAATTCTTTCAATAATTTAATTTTAAACGTTATTTCTTAAGACACACAATAAACATTTTATGTAGTTTTAATTTTTAGTTCAATTAGAATTAGTTTTGAAAACTTTGGGATTTAAAAAACTTTGGGATTTCCAGATGTTGGAAAATATAAAAAATGCACATTTCTTTCTGAGAAATCTGATATTTAAAATGAAAAGATAAAAGAAGTTTTGTTTTTAAAGAAAACTGCCAAAAGCCTGCTTTTTTTCATACATGCAATTAGAGTTGATGGTGGGGGAAAAAAGATGAAAAACAAAAGGCTAATAAAGCCAAAATAAAAAAAGGTGTTTAAAAAAAAAAAAATCTGCTTGTCTTCAGGTGAATAAAACACCAAAAAAAACAACAACACAATTCTTGGTGTTACAAAAATATTGTTCTGTATGAATCATTTAGGAAAGAAACCAGTAGTTAAATTTAGAAACAAAGATAGGACCTTTTGTTTGATTATCTTTTAGCTTATCAGCTTGTGTCAAAAACATTTAAAAACTGCTCCTAAATTGCACCCCCCCCTTTTTTTTCTCCACATCCCCACCCTTTCTTCCACCACTAACAGTGACGACTGAAAGATGGTTTATATTATCTATCCACAGTCTAATTAAAGCGTGAAGCAAGCTGTCAGAGCTCTCCAGAAGTTTTCTGCTTATTAATACTGACCAGGCCTTAAGACTGAAGCTGAGGCTGACAAGGTGCCACTGTATGCCTACACACTGAAGGATGTCTAACTTACATTTTCTGCATAAGCAGGCAAACATTTCCTAGAACCTGTGGATAGAGAGCTTGTTTGAATGTTAACCCGCACATCCAAGAGTGGCTGAATTTCATTTCAGTTTCTTGAAATGGTCCTTATGTCCAGGTGAAGGTTTTGCTAAAATTAAAGATGTCCTTTTGAGAATCCTTTTAGGAAGGTTAGAAGGTGATATTTTAATGATCGGCAGCCCCTATATACCAAATCATTGCTATTATTTACCTGTACACAAACTTTTTTTGCACACCCAAATACTTAAACCTCTCACGGCTGGAGTAGTTTTGCTTGTAATCTAATATTTGTGTGAATTATCCAGATAAACAGTTTTAAAAGGCTCAAATTTCACATGTAGTTTCTTTACTTAAGGACAATTAAAGGAACATTTACACGATACTTTCCTTTTGAGAAGTATCTGCAACTGTTGGCTTCAGTTTAAATATTGATGCATGGTTGGGACAAAATGTCCCATGACGGATAATAACTGAAAAAAAATCTTATATTGCTAAGGATTAAGTTACTTTATCTACATTAAAAAATGAGGAAAACACATTTTTGAGGAACCTAAAGTGAGATCACCTTTATGTTTCTTACACATTTAATAAACAAACAAAAGCTGCTAATACCTAACCGATAGAAGTAGAAAAAGTGACGGTTTTAAGATGTAAAATCTTTTAAGATGCTGTAGTTTTACAAGGAGATTAACCACCAATAACTAGGGCTTAACTGATGCCATGTGGGATGTAGGAAGGAAACTAAACTACTCTGTTGATTATGATGAATCACATTGCAAGTCCTTACCCGTTTCATTTTCTGCAGAAAGCGGGTTTGTCGTTTTTTCCCTCTTTGTGTCACAACATTTGACACATCTCAGATATCCATAGAAACTGATAAAATCGTCCGACCCATTTCTCCAATCCTGTGGTCTTCTGTTTTAATCTGGATACTAGCCATCAACAACTAGGCACTCTGGCCTATTTTAGCTCAATTGTTGTTGTTTTTTCTAGCTTTTGTCTCTTGCTCCCATTCCTTCTTTCAGCCGTGAAACAATTCTTTAAGATTTAGATCTGTTGGTTTAAGATAGAACAGTTAAATTTGAGAAACAGAATGATGTACCGTTCTGCTCCTCTGCTCCTAATTGAGTAAACTATGATAATATTATATTTGGTGGTAAATTTGTCAGGCTTTATGGTCAGCTTGCTCAGCTTTTCCCCCCTGAATTTGTTGAAGGGTGTGGACTGAACCACTTTAGCCACTTTCAATGGCTGCTGCTTGCAGGAGAGAACGTGCTGCTATCCTCACAACTCTGGGGCGTTTAAGGAAGACAGACATGTTAGTTTGTTTTACAGGTGATTGCGACATCTTTTCTGGCATGAATCTGGGTTCACCTGTGCAGCTGCACGTTTCGTGCATGTGTGTGAACAAGGTTGGAACTTTGTGGCAAATAATGGGGTTGCAGAGAGACGCATTAAAGAGCGTAGGAGAACTATAGAGAAAAAAATGGTTTTAGCTGAGTGAAAAGCATGTATGGCTTTCTGCAGTTTTTGTGTGACTTTTGTGACCAAAAGTATTTTTAAAACGTCTAAATGTGGCTGTCTTGTGAGCAAGACAAGGAAACCAAACCTTCATTCAACCAGCTATCCAGCAGTCTTTTTAAAGGTATAGTGGAGGAATTTCTGGAATTTTTGAAAAGACCCACACTGAAAATAATAATGACACCATTTTTGGCATTTACTAAATCGTATTTAGTTACTTTAACACAATTGTTTCATGTTACCAGGGTAGGACATAAAACAGTTATGTTAAAGTAACTAAATATGATTAACTAAATGCCAAAAGCGGTTGCATTATTTTTTTTCAGGGCACCCTCTCTACAAGAAAATGCACTTGCACAACCCTGTACCTGCTTCTGAGAGGGTACGCCTATTAAACGTGTGAGAGGGCGTGCACGAGCCCATTTCTCTTCGTGCACGCTCTGTTTAAAATTCTCTGTTTGCATCGCTCATACAAGCTTAATTTCTAAAAGAAGATTTGTAATTTTTTCATTATGTCAGACTCCACCGGTAATGAAAATGGTGATGAGCACGTAGGACGGCCTTACGTAAACGTATCACCAAAATGATTGACAATTAGGAGGACCGTTTATTTTGATGATCCACCTGGAAAAAGAACATTCTCCACTATACCTTTAATAATATAATTTGATTATTTCTTTTTTTCTAGTATGAGAGGAAGGAATCATTCACTTTTTTCAACCAGCTGACAGGCAGTGTGCAGTGTGCAGCAGTGTCAGCACTCTGTTCACTCCAGAACTCGCTTGTGCCTCTAAACACAATGAATAGTGTAACAGACCGTTTGAGCAGTTTTAAAATCCTTTCTTTCTGCACTTGCTGCCATGTTTTTTTTAGGGCGAAGTACATAAGCACGGAGCTTGGGATGCGAGAGCGTCTGTTCGTCGGAGTCCTGACCTCCAAAAACACCATCAATACTCTGGGCGTGGCGGTGAACCGCACCATCAGCCACCACCTGGACATCGTGGTCTTTTTCACCGGCTCTCGCAACCGCAAAGTCCCCCATGGCATGTTCGTGGTCTCCCACGGAGACGAGCGGCTGATCTGGAACATGTTTCAGACTGTCAGGTATGTCTTAGACCACTACATCAACGAATACGACTGGTTCTACTTCATTCAAGACGACGCCTACGTGGAAGCGGACCGCATCAGAGAACTGGTGGAGCACCTGAGCATGGATCGGGAGCTGTACATGGGGAGCCCTGAAGAGTTCATCGGCGGGGAGATGGAAGGGAAGTACTGCTACGGGGGGTTCGGTTACCTCCTGTCACGCAGCTTACTCCTACGACTTCAGCCCTTCCTGGAAAACTGCAGGAATGACATCCTTAGCTCCAGGCCGGACGAGTGGCTGGGAAGATGCATCATTGATTATACCAGCACCAACTGCGTCAGTGAATATGAGGTGAGTTGACTTGTATTCATGTCTTTTTTCTTTTTTCCCCAGTTAATAACACCATCTTGAGGGTATAAAGGTTTCAGACGGAAACGATATGGTAGGAAGCAGTTCCTAGTTTAGACGATTATTAAGCCACAAAGAAGAGTCATCTGAGACAGCTGTTTGACAGGCTGCAGCAGGGGGGTTCTCCTCCTCTCAAGGAAAACATAACAGTCCCTGTAGAAATCATTACTTTGCCTCTGGGGCAGCACTTAAAATGACAGACAGCTATATAGAACTATAATAACGGTGCTGGCAGAAAGACTGTATTCATATTACAGAGCAGAGAGCTCCAGCCTTTTAACTCTGCGCTGCACCGGGGGCAAGAAGGACAGGTAAACAGGCTTTGGATACACAGCTGAGAGGTTAGGTTAGGTTCAATGGTGTGAAAATCCCCTGTGGGTCAACATGCTCTGCTCCTCTAATGTCATTAGCATTTAAGGTCAAACAAGCTTTTGTCCTTCTGCCTGCAGGCATTTTCTTGTGTCTTTCAGCACCGTTTGCTTTCGTTTCTTCTATTCTTTGCAAAATGTTTTTCTTTAATTATGCATTTTGTTTACAAATGTGTGCAGTGCCGTTAAACAGTATTTGTAATCTTACAGATTTTCTTTGTTTTTGTCACATTGAATGGTTATAAAAAAATCAAACAAAAGTTTATTCCAGACTAAAAAAATACCCCGAGGGCGGGTTTATCTCAACCAACCTGGCCTTATGTGGAAAAATAATACATCCCTTGTTGATTCTTGAGTTAACCATGATTGATAACTTTTGTTTAGTTCAGTCTGAATTTACCACCATGGCCTGGTTACTGAAATCGTTTCAGTAGAACATAACTGGTTACAGATGGTTTGCTAAAAGTTGACAAAAAATCAGCATGTCTCTGTCTAAAGAAAATCATTTATAGATTGTCATCTACCTGTGTCTTCACAGTCGTATCTACCAAAATCCAATAATGCGCATTTTGAAGTATCGCATCAGAAAAAGCTTGATGAAAATGCTTAAATCTGGAAAAAACAACTCCATCAAATATATGTATATTAAAAAAAAAAAAAAAAAAAAAAAGATTTAACGCTCGTATGAGCTGGCTTTTGGCTTTCGCAAAAAAATTTAACTAACATTAAAAATATGTTGACGAAAGAACAACTTGACCGTCAGCAAGTGGTCATTGCTAGACTGCAGCCACTACTTACTGTTTATTACAGCCATACATGACAACGTAATTTGGATGACCTATGATGACATTACAGTATTCGGGTGCTTGGTTAATTGGCTTCAAACTAATTGGAAACACCACAAACAAACTTTACTTTACTTAAAATTTTCTTTTCAGTTGGATGGAAACTTTCCTACAGATACTAATGGTTAGGTTATATTTGATGCACAGAAAATGAGCTGCCCATTACAATATCTGCACTAATTATTAGGGGTGTAAATCCCACCCATCATGGCGATTTGATTCAGTATCAATTTCCTGACCGAACGATTCGATTATTTACGATACTCAAGAATACATCACGAAATACTTACACACAAATGACTTTAACCCGCAAGGGTGTGTAAGTCATCTTTTTCCTCCGCCATGTCTAGCCTGCCTACTGTTTTTGCAAATGTGCGTGTAAGCGGAAAGAAGATAGTGGTTAAAGGAAGCGAGGTAGGAGGGTAAATTGGCTTTAGCGACACCACAGGAAAGGAGTCAGAATTATGTCCAGGAGAAAATGGATAAAAATAGGCTGGAGAAAAAACAAAACATGAATCTAAACTCTTGCGGACGTTTCGATGCATTGTATCGTCAGCTGTTGGATCGATGCTTGCTCGCCATGTTTTTCCACATTGATCTGTCCTTGTAGTTCTAAATTTTTTTATGATGCAGAAATTCTGTCTGCATGGAGGGGTGTGGAAGCTGAAACTGACATTTGGTCGCAGGGATGCGTCAAGCATAAACCAAGTTTTATGCAGGAGGTCTGAGAGGAATCAAGCACAACATCTGAGTTCCCAGAGACCTCACTTACCATAAACCGCTTTGCCACTGAAACCCAGGTTTTTCAAAACCGGGTCGACCCGCTAACAATCGGCTTTTGGCTCTTTTCCCATTTGACCATTTGTGGTTCGCAAGGTTCGCAAGCAAGTTGGGTTGTGGCCGGTTTGTCGGAAGCATCTTGCTAACCAGTTAGCAACTTAGTGCTAGTAGGTTCCCAATGGGAAGTTACATTCAGACCAAGTAGCACTAAATTGGTGACTTAGAAACGACACTGTCAAGGAACGCTATGGACAGAGGAAACAAGCAAGAGGAGGAGAGTTTTGTGTCGGAGGACATGGATGAGTCTCCTCCTTCATACAGTTTTTATTTAGAGGAGGAGTGTGGGGACTGAGATGTTGTGGAAGAGGACGCCAGGGCGGCAGAAGCTTGGTTTGGTGTAGAAGGCTTACAGCCGTACAAGTTTGAGCCCTTGCCTCGCAACGCTGCCAGTTCTGATAGCTCTACACCTGCCGAAGACACAGACATCCATCCCTGTGAACACTGGGACAGAACTCAGTGGGAAAGTAAATGATTCTTATTTCTTATTTCAACCATTGCGTATATTAGCTGCGACATATGAATAAAGATGCAATGATCGAAAAAATTTGATTGACAGATGACTGTTGATATATGATTGGCCGAATTTAGGTGCATATGCTGACGTATAACTAACTGACCTGCATAAGAAAACCCCCCCACAGATTTTAGGACAGGATTTTTCTAAATTTTGGGACAATATGGTCTGATAAAGAGTATATTTATATACATGTTTAAGCCAGAATGATTAGATTTATATATCACTTCTTTACGACTTTAACAGGTTTTTTTCCGGCTAGTGTGAAAAGGGTATTCGACTCAACAGAAAGGAATGATGGGGGAAAGATGGCTTCCATGAGGATAAAACCCCTACAGCTGGCAACATTTTATTGATCACCAAGGCTTTTGGGGAATGCGATGTAGACTGAGTCAAAATTAAACACAGTATCCCCGTTCCACTACATCTGACAGAAACTAAAGCCAGCACGCCAGCATCATGGTGGCAAAGTGTCATAGTCTGCCTCTGCATTGCTGTCTCTGGAACAAGACAATCATTCATGCCTTTAATCCTCAGGGATGATGTCATTTTTACATTTGGGAAAATCCAGCCACACATTGAGCCAAAGTGCATCAGTAGGTCCATATCTGAATGGCTCATTAACAAAAAACTCTCACTGTAGGTCTTAAAGTGGTGTAGTCAAAGTATGCACCTTAATCTGATTAGCTGCTGTGGAGTGAAATATAATAGTAAACATTTACTCGAATGAAGCCAGTTATCTGAACACAAGACTATGGACTGTTATCATAAAAGGAACCTTGAACAGCTGGAGCAGCTTGTGCTTAAGTTTAGTGGGAATTATTTGAACAAAGTCTGTTTAGTTTGCATTGCTCTTTTCCCTTTTAAGGAATCATTATTTAAAGACTACTTTTTGGATTTACTAAAGTTATATTTGTCTAAAAAGATTTGATTTGAAGCATTTAAATAAAAGAGACAGAATGGGGGCAGAGTTTTCCACTGTATGTAATATCTATGGAGAACTTAGTAGATTTAGCAGAAGAATTTGTAAAAGAACAATGTAGTAAGTATGTGCAATCTTTAGATTTATTTTAATTTTAGATTCACTAAATTGATTTGAAAATGTCCTTTAGTCCCTTTTTCTACTTCTTGGCTCCTGTCCAGAGCTGCAAGCCATCTTGTTGCATAGTTAAGGGGGGATTACTGGGCTATCTGTAAGTGTCCTGAGCCAAAAGTTAGCCCCTTAGATAAAGGAGACAGGCAGGGAGAAGTTAACAGGCCCTGAATGGTTGAGAAACAGCTTGAAAACAGGACCAGACGTCTTTTCTTTCTCTTTTTTTCTGTACAAAGGGAACACTGATGCCAATTAGGCACGGACAATGCTTCAGTAAGTGCAGGGCTACAGGCTGTAAGCTGTTGGCAAACATTTGTAATAGAGCGGCCTTGCTGCTTCGTTAAGCACTTCCTCCTTCTTTCTTCTTTCCATGACTTCATTAGATTGTTTTTTTTTTTATCAGCATGTGATAGAGTAGTGTGAAGGTTCAGCTCACTGAGCAAACTTTCCCATGGAGAGAGGACTCTGATATGTAGTCTAGATGGCAGAAATGTTGGAAAGGAAGTAACGCTCCATAACAACCAGCATTCGGCATGTTTCTGTCATGCCATCACGTCTGATGAAGAGTGCTCTTTGTTTTCTCTTTACAGGGACTTGAGTACCACCATTACGAGCTCGGAAAAAACTCTGATCTGAGCAAAGAACGGAACGAAAAGTTCAAGAGAGCTTTGACTGTTCATCCGGTGTCTGATCCTGAGCAGATGTACCGACTGCACAGATTCTTCTCTGAGATTGAGCTCCAGAAGACTTACAATGAGATCGCTAAGCTGCAGGTAAGCAGATTGCCAAGAGTCACGAATCACCTGCGAGTCGGTCTGAAAAGCAATCTGGGCATTTCTCATCTTATTATACCCCACACAAAATGACAAAATAGGAGTAAAGCAGACTTCTCAGCTAATTAGAGTATCATGTAATTATTTTGTTCCATTCAGGACATGAACCTTATATAATTCATTTACAACACAGATTGATATTTTCTATATGCTTTTTTGCTGTTAGGTTGGATGATTATGGCTTTAAGTAACATAAACCAAGAATCCAGTTTTATAGAAAATAGATCCTAGAAAAAAGTTTATTTTATAAAGAAATAGCAGTAAAGCTGGTCAGTAAATGGATTCTGCGCTAGTTTTAGGTGTAGATTACTCCATCAGTGCATTAGTTCTAGGGGTGGGTATTGACAAAGGAGTCACGATTCGATTCGAATCTCGATTCACAGGCCACGATGCGATTCTATCACGATGCATCACGATACTTGAATTATTGCGATGCATTGCAATATTTTCTCCTCCATGTTTTGTTTTTGAATGACACGGCGCAGTAGAAATGCTTGTGACACAAGGCAGTGTGCATCAACACATCAGCAGCGACATCTACTGGACTTGAAGTTGTATTACACTTGTTTTTGGCTGATGTTCACCAACCATTCATGCAATTTTATTTACTCATTTTTTTAAATTAATAATCGATACTTGCCGTCAAGAATCGATGCAGTAGATCATGAAAATTAGAATCACGATGCATCATCATGACGATTATTTTGCACACCCCTAATTAGTTCACTCCTAATTTTTCTTTTTTTGTTGTTTTTTTTTTTTTTTTACCTCAAACTAAAATCCTCACATGCCTGCCGGTAACTCTGTTATAGTTTTAATTTGGGGATTTAAAAACATGTTTTAAGATTTGGCCGGTAACATTCCTCGTCTCTTTATTAAAATTTTTATTTCACCAGTTTTTCAATGTTTCTAATTTTTCTTTTAGATAATGCACTGGTTGCATTAAAACGTTCAAAGTTTCAGACTTTGGACCTTAAAAAGTATTCCTTCCAGAAAATGTTTAAGTAACATGTGTAGTGTTGATGATTAATACAAGTCTTACTATACGTTTTCAATGCAACACACGTGTATTAAATTCAAAATATTAGAATCCTGACACATTTAAACCTGATTGGGCAGCTATGCCCACCATACTTTCTTTTTCCGCCTAACTTTCTATATGTTTTATTGTATATAGCAGTCTATGATGTGCAACTTTGTTTGCAGTGATGGTCCAGAAGTGTTCCCTCATTGTGAAAGTTCTGACTATTAAAATTGTTATTGCCATTATGTAATTATTTCAGAGAATTTAAAAGCTTTTTTTATTGGCTGCCAGTCATATTTATCAGTAATACATAACACTCTGTAAGATGTGCTTGTTAGTTTTGGGTGATTTGCTGAATGCCTAATTAAAAACCCTCGTTGTGTGTCTGCAGGCGGAGATTAAAAATGTCAGTGTGCTCGCTTTTGAAGGCAACAGAACCTCTCAGTGGCCTGTCGGGGTCAATCCACCGTTTGAGCCGAAATCTCGGTTTGAAGTTCTGAAGTGGGAGTACTTTACAGAAGAGGAGATATATTCCTGCATCGATGATGCTCCTAAATGCGAGCTCCGCGGCATTGATAAAATGGATGTAGCGGACGTCATAGAAACAGCCATAGAGGAGCTGAACAAAAAGTACAAGCCCACCTTACATCTGAAGAAGCAGCAGCTAATTAACGGATACAGGCGCTTTGACCCCACCAGGGGCATGGAGTACACCTTAGACCTGCAGCTCGAGGTTGTTAATCAGAAAGGTCACAGCCGGTCTATAACCAAGAGAGTCCACCTGTTGCGACCCTTAAGCCTGATTGAGATCATTCCCATGCCCTATGTCACAGAAGCTACAAGAGTTCACATCATTATACCTCTTACTGCTGAAGACCGGACCTATGTCAGCCATTTCCTGGAGGTTTTTGCCTCCAACGCCTTTGAGACGAGCGAAAATGCAATCCTGACGTTTCTGTTTATCTACGACCCGGAGGAGGCTCAGCATGTTAATCACAATGATATATTTGCGGATGTGAAAAATCAAATCAATGTTTACGAGCGAAAGTACCCCGCAGTGAAAATCCCCTGGATAAGCGTCAAAACGGAAATACCGTCGCAGATTAAATTCATGGACATAATCTCCAAAAAACACCCGGTGGACACGTTGTTCTTCCTGGCCCACGTCAACACAAACATCAACGCTGAATTTCTGAATCGCTGCCGCATGAATTCGATTAACAACTGGCAGGTTTTCTTTCCCATCCACTTCCAGGAGTACAACCCTGACGTGACCTATCACAACCAGCCGCGTCCAGCGACGGTAGATCTTGTAAAAGACGCGGGACATTTTGACCGCAGGTCGTTCGACGAGGCGTGCTTCTACAACTCTGACTACATGGCCACGCGATCTCGAATGTTGGCCGACGTCCAAGAGAACGAGGATATTCTGGAGAGCCTGGATATCTATGACATATTTGTAAAGTATTCGGGTCTGCATGTCTTCCGAGCTGTTGAGCCAGCTCTTCACCAGCAGTACCGCTATCAGACCTGCAACCCAAAACTCAGTGAAGACATCTACCACAGGTGTATTCAGAGCAACATGGAGGGCCTTGGTTCGCGATCGCAGCTCGCCATGCTGCTTTTTGAACAAGAACAAGGAAACAGTACTTGAAGATACCCGACACATTTCAACTGCTATGTTTTTGTTAAAATGGACTGAAGTTGTTGGATCTTTTCAGAGTCCTTCATGGGTAACACAGCAACAAGTCCTCTACCAGCTTTAAGTCCAACCCTTCATTTCTCCCTCAATGCCTTTTATTAAAGGCTGTTTGGTCAGCTTTCGTTTAGTTTCTATTTTTTTTAGCCTAGTTTTGATATACTGATGCAATACAAGTTTGGAAAGAAGCTGTTTCTTCAGGATTCGCTGGAGCCAAATGTGTTAGCGACACTGGCAAATCAGAAAAATGGCATCAAGCAATTTTGACCACCAGGGGAGCATAAAACCCCCCAATAACTTGTGGTTTTGTGGTACCTTTAAGGAGGTTGTCCTTGGTGGTAAAGGATTTATCAGCTTTCAACTGGAAGCTGTTGCCACGCTAGCTACCAAAGGCTAACGCTAATTAGCAGTAGGCATGGCCGCATGCTGGTATCCTGGCAGTTTGAAATTTTTTCTGTTGAGTTAATAGGACTTGTCAAAGCAGTTGGAGTTTAGAGTTGGAGCCACTACTTCTTTCCCACTTGTTGCTGCACACTTCAGGTAATCTGACTGAAAAAGACTACTTCTTTTCTCCTATGCTAACAAGGACAAATTTAGCCCCTTTGAAAATCAGTCAAGCTATTGAAAGAAAAATAGCTCCACCGATCACTCAGAGACGCAGTCGCCAGCCCTTTAACTCTCCGGAGAAGGTAAGCCCACGGACGTCCACTGCTTGTAATTGTGTAACCCAGGAAAATATTTCAAAAGTCAGATGTTTTTATGGCATAATTCTTAATTAACGACATTTGGCCTAAAACGAGTTATTGAGCGTATGGGTTTGCTATTCTAACCTTATTTAGGTATCTGAAAACATCTTCATCTTCATGTTGATGTTTATTTATTTTATACTTTATTGATCCACACTTTAACATTATTTCAGCATAATGCAATTATGTCTTCTCAGTGTTTATTTAAAATTCTCTTGGGGTGAAGTCACTGTAGGCTGGCTACCGGAGCAGACAGCCCAGCTAACGGTGATAATATTCTGTGCAACAAGCAAGTTTACTTGAAAATGACAACAAAATTTACTTCTATTTATTCTGTATTTTTGTTCTGTGTTGAAATCAAAACTACAGTAAATGATTTAATGTTTTTTTTTTTTTTTTTTTTAATACATTGTGTTAAGGAATAGCAGTTCGATTTAAGAAAAAAAAAAATCAACGTTCCTCTTTATTTTTTTGGGCCCTTTTGAAAACTTTATTGAGGTGTTTTACTGAAGGTCCTCAAGCTGTAAGAATCTCATACCGACCCTTAGATATGTTGATTGGATACTGTTTGAGGAAGAATGTGACGAAATCCAATGCAAAGATGGAGTACACAAAACTCACCTTAGGCGAAAATGGATCAGGTGAGAACAGTAACCCACAGCGTCTAGTAAAAGTATTATTAGTCCTTGAACTTTTTTTGCTTCCTTCTTCTCAGGTAGGAACCCAACTTTAATTTATTTCATTTAACTTTTAAGAGTAGTTGATAGAGTACTAGCAGTGTAGAATTGTGAATAAAAAAAAAAAATGTCTGCATTTTTCCCCCCAGGTTTAGCTGGAAGACGAACTGCCGCTCCAGTCTTTAGTGTTTTGCAGCCTCTTACAGATAATCTATCTGGATTACATTTTATTTAGCGCCTTTCATGTTTCCTCTCATTTTAACTTCCATTTAAACGCAGAAAAAGGATGCCCTCACAGCATGATGCTGTCATCACTGTGTTTCATAATGGGGACGGCGCCTCCAAAATAATTTTAAGTCCAAACATTTTATTTTTGTCTCATCTGACCCAAGTCACTTCTTAAGTAACGTTAAGGTTTTAGTTGCACCATATTCAGTCCTGACGTTTTGCAAACCGTGTTGCCCCCCCCCCAGATTGATTGAACCTGTTGTGGCATCAGGAGAGGTGAATAATTTTCAACATTTTCTAAATTCAGATTTTGCGTCCTGATCGGCTCACATAGCGACGATAGTTTTCATTAGGTGACGTGATGTACCGGGTATGGCTGCTCATGAGCAAGGGTGGGTTGTTGGACCAATGACTTAAACAATAAGAAGTAGGTAATTATTTAAATAAAAAAAAAAAGCGTTCATTGCTGCTCTTAGATGGGTTAGAGGAATAAGAAGCGACTCCTTTGCTTCTTTCATTAACAGTCTGTTACTAGATTGATAGTTAATGTCCAGCTCTAATTTTATTTCCGATGGTAGATTGCGCCAGAGCTTGTGACCCCCCCAAATAAAAAAATAAATGAATAAATTACATAGGGGCTCTGAGATCTTGCACTTTTGATACTTAACTGGTTTGAGTATTTATAGAAGTGTGTATTTGTATAACGTGCCTTGACAAAGACATTTTATATGTTGGCTGTTTTTTTTGTTTGTTTTTTTTTTCTTTAATAAAGTGGTATTCTGGTATTGTCACAGCCTGTACGGCTGTGCTGAATGGGATAGGAGAGTTGAGCTTTCTGTGTTTATAAACCCTGTTACAGCTGGGAGACTAAAGTGGGTTCTTGGTTTTAGTTTTTTATTGCAAACTGGGACATACCATCTGCAGGCTGCACATGTGCCTCAAAGCAGGGAGGAGCTCTCCGGAAAAGTATTTGTCGGGTTTGATACATGAAGACTTGACTTACTGGAAATGTTTTTTTTTTTTAATTAAACTTTATAATACAAAAAAAAAAAAAGACAAGCAAAAGGTGCAAAAGCCCAATGAACAAACCTGTTGGTACTTTCTGAACTTTTTAGATCTGAAATATGTCAGGTTATATTTTAATTACATTAGAAATATTTTTCTATATCAGCAGAAGCAGAAAAAAGTAAACATTTAGCATCCCAAAGTGCTTTGGATTTTCTTTTTGCTTGTCCTCCGCTTGGTGAACCCTCTTCCAGATGTTGTGAAATGCAGTAGGGGATCACTTCTGTCTCTGAGCGCTAATGGATGTAGTGGTACTGAACAGCAGTAATTTATTAGTACGTAAAATGTGCAATATTACAGATAATACAGCTGGATAGGCAGCTTTTGGATGACAGGACTCTCTATTTCAAAGACTTTTTATTTTACTTCAAGTGCAGCAGTGTGTATGTCACAGTACTGTTGATGACTCGTACCTTCTGTTTGAGGCAGAGTGAATACACTGTAATTTCGCTGACAGGCCCTTTTAATGTATTTTGCTCTCTGTAGACAGTTTTTCATCACATTTGCTTTGAAATACATAGAAAGCGAGAAGAGTCCTTTTATTTAACTGTAATTGGATTTAATATATATGTTGGAAACACTACAGTGGAGGTCCACAGCAGTTGTTTGCTGTATTATTCAGTGTGAACACAGAGCATTAAGTTCAAATATCACAAATTTTTTTTCTTCTTTGTTTTTAAACGATTAAGTTAGATATTTTGTATGAAAAAAGTATTTCTTTTTTTTCTTTATCTAAGTTGGTGTGAATGTTTTCCTAAAGAGTCTTCCAGAAAAATCACTGTGAAATAAGGAGGTTGAGATTTCAATATGAAGTTACAGAGATGTGTATTCTTTTTTTTTTGCCTCCTGTCAGCACGAAAGGTCTCAAATTAAACGAGGCGCAGGATTGATTATCCCGTTCTTGTAAACGCAGCCACCGTCGCTGACCGAAGGCTCGTTTAGTATTTAGTCCATAATTTATTTATCAGTCACATCACCTGAATTACGCAGATTCTGAATATTTTCTGCACTAAGGTACGCTTTCAGGACTTCCTTTATTCACAAATAGTTTTTTATTTAATTACACACACCGTATTTAAACCTGTTTTTATCTTTCCACGGCATGTTTTTTTGTTTAGTTTTTTTTAAATTTTGTGGTCCTGAGAAAATCATTTATGTGGAGTACATTTCAAATATATTGCAACAAGCATCTGAAGTTTTCCATGTTCACCCCAATCACTGGTTTGTACTATTTCACACATATTGGTACTTGTTAAACCAAAGCGGTACATTTTGGTTGATGCACATGACATGTAATTGAGTGCTGTATTTCTCAATAAACTGTGAATCATTGTAATTTTTCTAAATAAAAAAAATTAATATTAATCAAGTCTCTTGTTTCTTTTTATTAGTAAATTAAAGATTTTCTTTAACATAAAATGCATAAACAATATGAAAGTTATCAATGACAGAAAAAGCATTTGTCGGCATATGTTTTTAAAGAAGAGAAAATCCTTAAGATAAATATTAATTTATAAACTGTACATTTTTCTTTGCATTATGCCTACAGAATTCATTTTGTCCTTTAGGTGTCAGCACAGCTACGTGTTTCCTTCAGGTTTTTTTTAGTCAGCCAGTGACTGCTGGTTTGCAATGAGGAAAACTACGACTGAACAATGAGAAATCCAGTTTTATTTCACAAAAGGAAACAACCAAACAGCATGCTTTTAATCCGCTGTCATTCAGACTCTGCAGGCTGTTCCTAGTCATGTTATATCCGACATACTCCTGATGTCTGGGTTGGGTTAAAAACAGAGAAATGTTGCGACCTTAATTACAGCTTTAGCTATTTCGAGGGTCTATGTGCACTACCCTTAGGCATGCTGTAAAACCACATAACTACAGAGCAGCCTGGTTTTAATTGTAAGCCATTATTTTGTACTTCATTTCATGTTCAGTCTCAGGACTTTCTCCTCCCTCGTGGGCCAACAGTCCCAAAGTCAACCGGCAAGGTGAAAATCTATAAATGTTTTTATTTTATTTTTCAAAAATGTGCTCAGTCAGGGAACACTGAAATAAAATTGCTCATTTTGTGGAAAACCCTTCAGATTGAAGTGTTTGCCCAGAGTGATGCTTTCTGAGGCGTTCAAGGTTTTTAACTCTTGTTCATTCTTGAAATAGCTGGAAACGATTCAAATAGAAGGATTACTAGTGAACATAATAGAAAAAAAACACTTGACACAATACACAAACTAAACTAAGTTGTTTTTTTAAATCTAAACTTTAATATTCATTGTATTTACCATATTTAACATTTATAAAATTTTCTCTAACAGAAATATTCACATCATCGTAACACTTATGTACAAAATATACGCTCTCCATCCATCTTTCCTCTGTGGGATGGTCCATTTCCATTTCTGCGGGATACAAGATGAAATTTCTCCCAGTGAAATCCAGACAGAAGCTTGCATCACCAACATCTTACATGCTTTTTTCCCCCCTCAGGCATCAGGTTAGAAATATTTGGTTAGAAAAGAAAAAGAAAAAAGAGATTTCAAAACTTAACATCCGTGGCTGGTTGGAATATGTGGGTTTTAGACACAATGTAACAAGCGAATACAAGCCATGGAGCCATAGAGCTGTAGGGAGGAAAAAAAAAAGTCTAAGTCTCAGGAGCTGTGCAGGACAGGAGCTCCGATAAGGAGCTTTAGAAATTCCAGCAATGTGAGCCACATGTTGTGAAGCAGTGAAGGTGTCTATTTCTGTTACACTCCTGCCGGACGTCATGCACACTTAGTGCTGTTGTGGCGCCAGCTCTATCAGGATGATAACTTTTGCTTGAAAGAGGTTTCAGATTCAGATTCACCAGAGCTGTGTTTTAGAACTGCTGAACACGCTTCTTTTTTTTCTTTTAGGATAGTGTCTCTGTGCATAGAGTTTAGTGTAAAACTCCATGGGGTAACTCATGCCTGTATTCAGCTCCACTAGCAGCCCCCTCCTGTGTGACTTCTCAGAGGATGGATACAATTATTGATGACAGAGGAGAAGATTACTATGCATGGCCCGTACAGGATGCCATCAGAGACGATGATTGGGAACCTTTTGAAAATGTCAAAGTGACACATGATTATGAATATTAAACATCCATGTGAAGAACATGATTACTTGAAGGGGGGGGGGTGAGTTTGGGGTCAACATTCGGATACTGGAATCTCATTGTGAGCCTCAGTTAAATATGGCAGAACTGCTACAACTGAATACTTTGAACAAATCAACAACAGAATAACATAATTTGATTGGATTAAGCAACATATATCATAACTTCTTCATTTTTTATTATGCCCAAAGCTGAGAAATATGTAACTCACAAAATTTGTTAAAAAAAAAAAACCGCCACCTAACACTGGCATCAATGTCTAATGGACAAAAGCAGTGACAGTCTGTAGGTCTTCATTGAAATTTATAAGAGTATTAATGGCAAAAGAAAAATAAATCTGACAGAAGCATCTAACAAACAAGAACCTTACAGTTTTTTAAATAAGCTCTCTCCTCTGGGAGTAGTCTGTTATGATTAGCCACCTTGGTTAGGAGCC